TAGGTATTGTGTCTGAAAAAGTGGAGTTTGGAGGTAGGCCCAGTCTCTATTTCAATTAATCCCATATGTTCTGTTGTTCACTTTACGCGGGCCTCCGTAAATTCAATTGACCGCATAAAGTGGGGTTACACTGTACACAGAACCCTGCACAACTTCTTTGCTTTATATTGTATTATACAAGTACAATATTTTACGGCATATAAGACACTTTTTTGTCTGAGAAATTTCTAAAAAAAATCAGCCTGCGTTCTATATGTGAAGTTGCAGTCTCCCACAAGCTAATTAATCCCTCCGTTGAGGTCTCCAGTAGGCTAAATTCTGCCTAACCAAACTCCAGAATTAAAAATATGTTATCGCTCACTTAAACACATTATTAGTATTTTTAATTAATTAAAAAATAATTATTATAAATATAAAAGGTCGATCTACAACCAATCATCACTGCACTGATGGCGATAACCTGAGACGATTAACATCCATACGGCAAATACCAACTCTTCAAAGGTAGCCAAGTACAGTAGTAACCATTTCTGAACTCTTACAAGCATTACAATCTATTAATGCCATACCTGCAACATTTATGTTACAATCTACAAATACCTGATACAAATGAACATTTACAGATAACTTTCTTTTTACATTTACATTTGTTAACATCGCTGGCGGGATTGTAACTACAGTAGGTTCGATTCGTCTCTGTAAGCAGACTACTGGGCCAAGCTATTGTTTTTCAACTCTCATTTTCGGGTAGATATACGTAACTTTCTTCATTTATTTTTACTGATATAAATGCACACACCATCCTACATACATATTATGAAAATGTATAAGAAATAATTGTCCTAAGGGCAAGCACATAAAAGGAATATACATTTCTTTGCACATGAGTTAGCTGCCTTAGTGGGGGAGCGGGAGGACAGCTGGGTGGTTGGTTGGTGGTGAGAGGGGGGAGAGTTGCCAGGGAACCGGCAGAGGTGGCGTCGCCGTTGCTATGGTAAACAGAGAGTACAGATGTACAGTACATATATGCAAATGGTGACTGTGTTAAACTTTCATTTGGTTTTTATATACTGGTTTGGCAATAGAGTATTTTTTTTTATCACTTATATGTTGTATTAAGAAAACTATGGATACAGGAGGTAAATACACACAAACGTTTTTTCCCAAATACTCCCTGCTAAAATGGGGGGTGCGTCTTTTATGCTGTAAAATACAGTAGTCCTCACACAAGTTCGCACAGCATGAAATTCACATTAGCATCTTAGCGAGAAAATGTTCCCAGTTTAACAAACACAGCAACTTGTCATGGCACCATGCTCTCCCTTTCACACCACCCAGTACATGGATGCAGGAAGGGAGGGTGCTGTAGCACCCTAATATTTTGGGTATAAAGTGCTATACAATGCACCACAGAGTATCTAGGACACCAAAGTTCATATTCAGCAGCCCCTGGTAAAATTTGGTTCCCACGGTACTGACCCAGTAACACCCAACAACTTCCCCCCCATTCATTTCAGCCAGGTAGTCAACCAGCTGGCTCTGAGATGTAGTAATAATAATAATAATAATAATAATAATAATAATAATAATAATAATAATAATAATAATAATAATACCTGTAACAATAATAAAATAAAAAGCAAATAAAATAAAATAAATTAAAATATTTACTGTACAGCATCTACCCAAAAATGCGTGTAAAAAAATGGCAATAATGCAGCTCACAGTTTGGCTTAGTGGGGTGAAAACCCCAACACCGCACTCCCCTCCCACTCCCGCGATTCTGCAGAATTAAGAAATCTTTATTCTACTGTATTTATGTCTTCTACCTTTTGATAATGTTTTTTTTACCTTCTGTATGAACAATTGTGTTTGCATGAAGCAGAGTAAAAAACAAAAAAAACAAAAAACGTATATCTACCGAAAAATATGAGATAAAAAATACCAATAACACAGACTGGCCTGGTAGGGGGAGAGCTAGAGGGATGTAGCTGCAGGGACAGTCTAACTTGGTGTCCTGTCAAGTCTCTTCACACACACACACACACACAAACTGGGACACCACCCTACACCACCCGGTGTCTCCATGACCACGTGAGGTCCTTCAAGTCAACATCTATGGTCGAGTTACTGAACCACGTGGTCTATGTGACCTCACGTAGGCCACTGGAAACTATAATAATTTGTAGGTTCAATTCATGTTCTTTCTCCTTTTAGTAATGAAAGCTTTTGTTAAACAACCCACCCACCCCATGTCTTTGTAGGTAATACTCAAAGTCATTTTGTCTAATGCATATTTTCAGCCTTCAGAACTTTTTCCATAAACTGTTAATTATTATTATTACACACACACACACTCTTCAATTTTCTTATTTTATAGCAACATAACATACAGGCATCCCCCGCATTACGGAACCCCGGTTTGCGGAATTTCGCTCTTCCGGAATTTGTAAATTATGACCAATAATTTCGCGATACGGCCCATAAATCCACCCTTACGGAAATTTGGGTAAATTTTAACAATTTAAAAACAAAAAATCACAATATAAAATTAAATTTTTTTGATAAAAATTATAATTTGTTTGCTGTGGATTTCTTGGGGTTTGCCGCCGCCAAGAGTGGCGTCGCCACACGGAGTCAGTCCATTGTTTACATCCAGTGTGCGCGCATGTTTTTCACCCCAGCAGTTGAATTTAACTTTTACAAACATACAGTAAGTGCAGTACAGTGCATTACCCTTATTCAAGGTGACTGGAAAAAGGCCATCAAGAGGAAGTGACCGCAGTAGTGCAAAAAAAAGCCGCAAAGGCATCACATTGGATATTAAACTTGATGTTTTAAGAAAGAATATCATATATTATTTAATGTAATGTATTGTATGTGTTTATAAATGTTTATTTTCATTCATAAAAGTGCTTGAATTACTTTTTTGGGGCTGAAAAAAATTCCTAAGGAACGCATCTCCAGTTTTATAATGGAAGTCAATGGGAAAATAGGTTTCACGTTACGGAATTTCGCGATACGGTAAATTTTCCAGGGACGCAACCCTTCCGTAACGTGGGGGATGCCTGTACTATGTAATTTATATTAATCTACTGTATTATTATCACACACACAATCTCTCTCTCTCTCTCTTCAATTTTCTTATTTTATCGCAACATGCTCGCCTAGCAAGCAAGTGGACCTGGGTTCAAACCCCAGGCGGGGTGAAACTATGGGCAAGTTTCTTTACGCCATTTGGCTGTTTACCCAGCAGTAATTGGGAACATGGATTTATTATTATTTTTATTTTTATTATTATTATTATTTTTTTTTTTACGGGTATTAGCCCACCCGGGCACAGGTCACTGACCCACATCGGGGCCTGGGGGCGAAAATGTAAAAATAATAATAAATAATAATAATAATTCATAGTAAATAAAATTTATAATAAAAAATAACATAAAATAAAATAATAATGCTAATAATAATAATAATAATAATAACTCTGTATTATTATTATTATTATTATTATTAATAATAATAATAATAATAATAATAATAATAATAATAATAATAATAATAAAGAACCATAAATACAAAAATGAAAAAAAAAGATCAAAAGTGAGAAATAATACTGTATACAGGTACAGTGAGTTCTGCTATAACGCGTGTTTTGATAACGCGAATTTGCTCTAACGCGATTTATGAATTCGGAACAATATTTGTATAACACGAACGCTTGTTTGCTATAACGCGATTTTTCCTTACTATTTCTCCAATTTTGTGGTATTAACTGTGAATATGGTAAAGAAGAATATCTCCAAAAAGCGTTCTGATGATAGAATTCCCGGTGATTATCGTAAAAGAAAGGATATAACACTTGAAGAGAAGCTCGATGTTATCAACCTCAAAATCACCCTTCTCCCCCATCAAGTTACATTCATATTTTTTCAAGGTAAAGTGTTAAATTTACTGTATGATTTCATTATTAGATATGAATGTAACATTTATTTAGACTGTGCTATCCTTTGTGTTAGGCTAACTACTAAATTTTTTCGATTTCGAGTAATCTGCACCTAACCCTATTTTCTCCATAAGTCCTGTTATTTCTATTACGCGATTTTCTATAACACGATATTTTACAAGAACACAATTATCGCGTTATAGCAGAACTACCTGTATGTATGTATGTTGTGTTGTCAATGGTATGAGAAACAATTGAGACCCTGCAATTTTTGAACATAAAATAATTGCTATAGTATTTTCTAATATGCTATTTATTTATTTTTTTGTTTATCATTGAAAAAATGTGGCAGCTCATCCCCATTACACGCAGTATTAAAACTTACGTTACTAGCTGATTTGGGGGGGAATTATTATTATATTATTATTATTATTATTATTATTATTATTATTATTATTATTATTATTATTATTATTATTATTATTATTATTATTATTATTATTATTTCATTTTGGTGCCAGTTAGTTGAATCTACCAGTTGCCCGGATACCGGATAACTGAGATTCTACTGTATTTTCTTTATTTCCAAAGTAAATTACAGCAATTAAATAATATTTCCACAACTTTTGTGGTTTCTTATGTAAACAAACACTGCAGCAGTCGGCAGTTACCATGAATTATGAATATTTGACAACAAAATTGAAAAAAATGGGTAGTAATAGTGATACCATACCCACAAATTTAAGAAAGTGAATTTGTATTTCGTGAATTATCAAGACGCCATTGTACGGAGGAAGATATATCAAAACCACCTTGCTGTATGGGAAGGGAAGGCATACCGGATACAGACTAACACACAAAGAATATTAGTACCTTATAAAGTACAAAGACCAGAGTACTAACCTGTCTCAGGCGGGTTGTGTGGTTGTGAATGGTATAACTTTTTAGGTGTGATTTGATGGGCTGTGGAAGTGGTAGGTGTTCAATCCCGTACACAGTGGTTGTTGCAACAATGGCACGACTACATAATTCTTGGAGTGTTAACACTGAAAAAAAGAGGGGTGTGAGCAAAAAGAACATGGAATATGGTATATGAAAAAATCCTGAAATAGCATAAATAATGTTCAGTAAGGCTCTGTCCTATAACCAAAACCTCACAGAAGCACATCAAATTTCAAGAGAAAGAAAAGATGACAAATTTCACTAATACTGTATATTGAATCAAGTGCTATGCTCAATTTCGTCCTAATTTTATTATACTGATCTAAAGCCATTTCTACAGTAAGACAAAGGAACAAACTTAAGACCATGCAGTTGTTTAAAAATCTTACCTCCAATGAATGCAACCAGGTTGACCTGACTAAATATCTTCTATTTTATGAAACCCGAGGTTCTGAGTCCTAACAACACTAGTCTTAAGTCCCCTTAACTTTCATGAGTATAAACATTATATTTATATCCAGCATTGTTAACCATAGTTATTATGATGACGATTTGGTGTGTCCTGTGACTGAACACTGGCCATTAAAATTAAGTGCTGAAGAGCTATAGTTAGCCACTCTACTTCAAGATGGTTCAAACTATGAGAAAGGGTCCCTAGAAGTCCCAATCAGTAACTTAAAGAGCAGAGGCCAAGGGCACAACACTTCAACCTCTCCCTCTCTTTGGCTCCAGATTAAAGCCAGAAATGGAATATGATTTGAACAAAGTTGAATCAGTTCATGAAACGTAACCCTTTCCCTGTGGCTGAAACACAAAGGGTTTCTTGCATTCAAAATTCCTGAACGAAATGTTTCATTGAAATATCTGTGGTAAGTGTTCAACTGATAATCTACTATTTGTTGACATAGTGTGGTCAGTTATATTCTTTTACTATGGGATAATACCCCTCAAGATGGCAGAATGACCTACTATATACAATAACAATCCTGATCAAGCCAATTTATTGGACAGTATCAATTCAGATGTACTTAGTGACATCACTAGTGATGATGACTGGCCTAATGAAGAGAGAGCAGTTAAAGAAGAGAGTGAACCTGAAGATGAAGGCAGGAGTAATGGAGATGAACCTGAAATGTCATAGAAACAGAGGAGGGAGTGTGGGGAGTGGAAGTGGACCACACAATTTGGGTTCAACAGTATGCAATCTGGCTTGACAACTGCTTGTTCCATTACAGAAGAATCAGAAAAGTTTGATAATTTTATTTAATTTTTTATTATGGTCTAGTGAACTTGTGTATCCAGAACCAATGAGCAGTGTGATTTTCCAAAGGAAACAGTACCATCAACATTTTCTTCATATAGTAGACTGGCAAAGTGGAGTATGTCACATGTCGGCCCACACCGCTGTCTATGATTGGCTACTTAGGTTATACCCAAGAACGACCAATGTCAATGATGGTGGTTCACGGCCTGTATGCTTATATAAGTTTTCTAATGTTTTGATATATATGTTTTTTTTGTATCACTGTTATTTAGTTTTGGTTATTCAAACATTAAGTAAGAGCCATATTGTTTTAAATGGTATAAGGTGTAAAACTTTTAATGTATTGTATTAAGAATAGTTGGCAACCGAGCCATATTTGTGTGGTGGTGGTGGTGGTCACGGCAGAGCAGCGTCAGCCACGGACTGAACCAGACAGCATGGAGAACCAGGAACTCCAAGCCTGGTATACACATGCCGACGTGGGGTACAAGATAGCCGCCGAGTTGTGCGTGAAGTAATTGGAGATATTTAGACATGAAAACTTGCTCTTTGAATGTAAATAGTGTAATATATGTTATTGTTACAAGACGATTTTCCATAAGCCCTTCCTCTCAGTCTGAAAGTCCACTTGACAACTGACAGAGTAAAACAACTAGAGATGAAATATATACTGTACTGTATATGAATGTTGTGTGTGTGTAATGATGCTAATGGTCCAGAATAAAAATACAGAGTAAATTACGCACTGCTTTGGAAGATTATACCATGGTACATCACAAAGCATCAGAGCAACATGTATATCAAGACCACAAAGAACTACATCCAACAAGGCAAAGGAGAGATGAAAATGATTTGAAAGACAGTTATTGGTTAGCTGAGTGACTGACAAAAGAGATAGTCGAGGTGAATTAGTGAGAAAATCCAATACCTGTACTGTACTTGAGTAGAGCAAGGAAATGAGACTTGTTGACAAAAGTGACATGTTAATAAGAATATTTTTTTAGTCTTATTACTTACACCAGGTAAAGACAGGTCATAAGCTTTCACTGATTGACTTTACTAAGAAAGCGAACCACCAGCTCACCGACAGGAAATATTTGGGTAGACATCATCATATCACACCAGTAGGTGTACAACCATTACAATTAGTTGAACAATTTGTGGAACCCCTCAACTTATGAAGATGTCAATGTGTGCTCATATATCAAGCTCCCCTCAAAAACAACAAAGACTGCCACGTAAATGTTGCCAATGTGATGTCCCTTTGTGTATGGACCCATGTTTTGAGGCATATCAGACACAGAGAAACTACTCAAAATGTAAAGAAATAACGTGGACAGTACAGTACTGTATATTGCGAGTTTTTGTTTATTAATTATTTTTATCTAAAACACATGGGCGTGTTTGAATGCATAACTTGAATATTAATAATAAATGTTCATCCAAAATATAAAATTCTACAATTTCCTATGTGCTAATGGAAACAGTAATATGCTATTGTGTTGCAGACTACTGTACATTGATTTTCTAAATGTGGCTCTTGTTAAAAGGTTAAATGCATTTTTTAGTAGTAGTAATATTTCAGCTTATCTCTCATAGTTTTGGTATGCTAAATTTGAATATTGAGGAAACCAAACTAGTCAATGGTCAACTGCAAATAGCCATAAATTAATAAAAATAAAGAGCTGTTCAGGTATCATAAACAACAAATACTGCTTGCTAAAACAAGTCATAGTCATCAAAAAGACTCTTATTTACAATAATTATGGTATCTTAACCCAAGGTCAAAGTTGAGTCATTGATTTGGTAAAATATCTGGCACCGCAGTCTGTGGCTATTTGAAGCCAAAATTGAAAATCATAAGTTAAAACTAGGATATAAATAAAATAAAATGCTACTTTACAAATCACAAGTGGCTCAGTATGCCTACTGCGGTTACGGATGTCAAAAGTCCACCTTCAGATGGAAAAGGATCCATACCCCTGCCGGCACTCGGCCAGGAAACGACTCCTCAAGTCCACATGATTGGGGCACTACCAGCAAGTGTCTCACAGTTAGTGGCACCAGCCAGCCATCACAATAGGACTGTGGTCCTCTGGCCACAAGGAAACTGTGTGTGTGTGAGGTGAGTGTGGCCAATACACATATGGATAAGGGCAGTCTCATAGCCCAAGGTCAAAGATCAGGGTTTTTATTGAACCAGCATAACATCAAATTTGCTTGACAACTTTTATAAATCCATATTTTTTATTGCATAATACTGTACATGTTTTATTTAAACATTAATTTTTTAAATTATTGCTATTGTTTTTACTGAAGATGCTTAATACTGTTTTTATATTTCTTCATGTCAGTACAGGAGGTCTTCAATATACAGTACATCGAGGATGTGTTCCAGAAAATGCGACTCATAGTGAAATGTTTTATTATGAGGAATTTTCCCCCAACAGGAATTAATGTGATTAGGGGCATATGAGTTCCAACGTGTACAGTAATACCCCAGGAAAGCTCAGGATGTGTTCCTGGAGAGAAAAGTTTCAGCACATCATCTTACAATGGGGTCATTATAGTACACTGTATAGTATTAAATATGGAGATATGTTCATAACATCATTATTTATTACCTGTTGAGTGAGACTTGGTGGCTCAATTATGCTACTTTTGCACTTAAACAACTGATCAGTGAATAAACCAGGGCTAATGGAGACACATTATACACTACAATAATATTTATTAAGAATTGATAAATATGCTACAATATTATTTACTAAGTGCTGAAGACAGCCCGAGAACATTTAGAGTGGAGGACTGTGGTCGCCAACCCCCTTGACTGATTGATTGAAGACATATCCAATGGTAATCACCAGCTCTCTTGAGCAGTGACAACAACGGAGGTCGAGAGATGGCGAGTGCTGGAACATTGTTATGGAGAGCAGGAACGATCAGCTTGTTACTGCTCTGTTAACAAGAGACTGGGAGTTTAATATGATGCAATAACTCACCTAGGTTTGAGTGTGGGATTTTTTTGGGGGGGAGAAGTTATTATTTTACGATAATGTTTTATTAATACGGTACCCAATGAGTCTAAGTATTATGGGAATTATGGTGAAATTGCAAACTGTCGTTATAAAGGAATCGCAGACTAATGAGCATCGGAGAGTCATCTCCTCAGTCAAGCCAGCACTCCATCCCCCCTCCTCCTCCTCTGCCATCCTGCACCTCCTATTCCTGGCTATGCACCCAGACATATTTTTTTTTCTACTCCAATTCTTTACATTCAAAGCCTCCATTGTATAAGAACTGAATAGGGTTTTCCAAACTTTAATTTTTTGGTGTTGGAACACTTGTATGATTTATACGTCCAAGGTGAGGTATACAGTAGTCTGGCGAGTCACGGTGCATTGCCAAACTGCCTACTGCTCTCAGATACACTCCATCTCCCACACACAATATACCCCTACTCCCTTAAATTTTTTTTTTATTAGTAAAGTACGCCCGGATAATTCGCGGATTTTTATTTTGAGGTCCTCTATTATTCGCGGATGACACCATGGATGTAGCCAAGAATGTCTGTGGGTAGTTTTAAAGTTGACGGCATTTTCACGGCCGGGACAGGGATACATTCGTTCTAGAAATAGTAATTTCGTTTACTTGTATTGTATATACAGTCGACCCTCGTTAATTCGAACCCCTTTAATCCGGATTTCGGATAAATCGGATGAAATCTGAACTATCTGTATCAAATTTCTGGTTCTGGGATTGTCCCAGTTGCAATTTCAACTTCTGTGTCACTACTAAGGAATAACGAAGTTTCTGGTGCACTGCACTCTAAGATTAAGAGAAAACAGAGGACTCGGGCATCCTGAAGTGAGAGAAAACGGACTCCTATGACGGGGCACTCAAGTAAACATACACATAGCTACATGTTTTTGTGGACTACCCACTGTACAGTATCCTTTTCATCACTTTGTAATAAACCTAGTCATGCCTATGTGTGTTTCTGATAATTACCATAACATTATATATTTATATATTTAGCGGTTGTACAGACACAAGGCCTCACACATGCCACTCAGACTGACAGACTTGACAAGTTTTACCAACCATAAAGACAGTTGAAGCTTTAAACATCACTCACAATGGATCTTGCAAATTCCAACTGCAATCAGACATACCTAAGTTGCCTCAACAATTGCAACCCCAGTTGCAATATAAAATTATGTCATTACTAAGGAATAACGAAGTCTCTGGTGCAGTGCACTCCAAGATTAAGAGAAAACGGAGGACTCAGGCGTCCTGAAATGAGAGAAAATGGACTCCTATGACGGGGCACTCAAATAAACATACACATAGCTGCATAATGCAATATTATGCAATATTAACCCCTAAATCGATTAATTCGGACAATCGGCTAAAACGGACACCCTTCCCCCCTATTAGTCCATTTTAACGAGGGTCGACTGTATGTGTATGTGTGTCTTAACACACACACACACACATATATACAATGCAGGTAAAAGAAATAATTGTTCTAAGGGCAAACACAAAGGGAATATACATTTTTTTTTACACAAATAAAAATCTACCCCCCCCATCAGCAAATGTTATTCGCAGATTTGGCAATTCGTGGCCATTTTGAGAACCTAACCCCCGCGAATTTGAAGGGCATGCTGTACAATAGGGTCGGGATATATCGCGACTTTATATAAAGATTTTTTTATATCGCGGCTACCAAAATTATAAAAAATTCCCTATAAATTGTGATAATTCTTTTTAATTCGCGAGGGAAATCGGGCAGGAAATATTTCAAATGTACCGCCATGGCAAACAAATGCGTTATTTGCTCACCAGAGGCGCCACCGTGGCTGCTCACTCTCGCATTCACGCTCGCCTGCTCAGTATTTCTGAGTGAGTGACGAGAAAGCAGCCGACTCTGCTGCAGATTATGACTTCTAAGGTGAGTGTAAATGGATTGCTAGTGACATGAAAAGTGAAGTGAAGATAATGAAAAGCTTATTGGAAAAGATTTAATACTGTAACTAATATTTTTGGTTTGTTCGTTTATGATTGTTAAGTGAGGGTGGCAGTGTGTCATCTGCTGCCGAGTCTGGTGTTCCCAGGATATTGCGTCAGCTGCCGAGTCTAGTGCAGATTCCAATTTCTAAAGCGAGTGTAAATGGGTTGCTAGTGACGTGAAAAGTGAAATGAAGATAATGGAAAGCTTAATGGAAAAGATTTAATACTGTAACTAATATTTTTGGTGTTCATTTATGTATGTGTGGGATTGTCAAGTGAGGTGGCAGTGTGCCGTCTGCTGCCGAGTCTGGTGCGTCAGCTGCCGAGTCTGGTGTTCCTTGATATTGGTATTGAAATAGCCTGTTGTTCCTGAGTCTAGTGTTCATTGGTGCTTTTAATTAGTAAGAAAATACACTTGTTAAGTCAAGCTTAGTCACTTTTTTAGGCCTCCAGAACCTAACCCAATTTTCCCCATTGATTACATGTACAGTAATTATATATTGCGATTTAGTATATAGCGAACATCCTTGGACCCTATCTCGAGATATATCCCAACCCTACTGTACTGTGCTATACAGTAAAGTATATAGTATGTATTTTCTTTATTCATAAGGCACACTAGCACATTGAGATAACTTTTCCGCACATTTTGTGGTTACAGGAAAGCCTCCAATAAAGACGGTTCTGCTAACGATGATTTAGATTTAAGACCCTGGTTAATTTAGGATCCATTTCAATTTACACCATTATTTTCTTCGTATTTACGATGAAAATAGAAAAAAAAAATACAATTTTCATATAAATAATAACTAAATCCCAATATGTATTATTAAAAGCCTTGAGCATGGAGGCTACCGGGCTTGTGAGTGGTGACGCCAGCATCACTAGTATAAACAGTCACAGCTGGCGGGCCTTTTGTTTTCACGCATCCGAATAGGAAAAGGAGAAAAACTTTTTCAGGTTTCTTACAGTGTTTTTGTGTCCCTATTCAATATGAGCATGAGATGGTAGTGCTGGTTCAAAAGCTAAAAGAAAGTGTATAAGCTTAGCCGAGAAACTAGATGTGTTAAAATTATATGAAAAAGGTGAGTGAGGTCTGTGGATATTATATGGAGCAAGCAATGAACATATTTTCTGAAGTGGATCCATTAACAGAACGAAGCATTAAAATTAACAGGGACATGAAAAATGCAAATGTCCTCTACATAAAGATGTACAGTATTACCCCGCTTTACACGGTTTCACTTTCCGCGATTTCTTATTTACGCGGTACCTTGCCAGAACCGGACTTTCACTTTCCGCGGTGCATCTACTCATATACGCGGTGAAGTATAATTTTTTTTTTTATTTAGCTCATAAAATTCATACAAATTACCCGGCCAGAATATAATTTACATTGCTGGAATTCTTACAATATGATGATCATTTTGAATATAAACATCATGGATTTTGCATTAGACATACAAATTTTAGATCTTATGTAATAATTTGGTTTACACAAAGCAAATATTTTATCCTTTGTGCAGAATATATGAAGTTTACATTCAAAATATTCCCTGACCTGCAAGGAATCCAGAAATGTCAATTATATTATCCTAACTTTAGTCTGAGTTATTATTTATTACTAAAAATGTAAATATACTATTTTCTCCCAATCGCTTCTCTGGTAGGTAGGGAGGGAGGGAGGGAGGGAGGGACCGACCCAGCTAGGGAGGAGTATTTTGATTGACAGATAGTGTCCTTGAAGAATATTTCTTTGTTTATTTACTGAAGATATATGTCTTAGCTCATAAAATTCATACAAATTACCCGGCCAGAATATAATTTACATTGCTGGAATTCTTACAATATGATGATCATTTTGAATATAAACATCATGGATTTTGCATTAGACATACAAATTTTAGATCTAATGTAATAATTTGGTTTACACAAAGCAAATATTTTATCTTTTGTGCAAAATATATGAAGTTTACATTCAAAATATTCCCTGACCTGCAAGGAATCCAGAAATGTCAATTATATTATCCTAACTTTAGTCTGAGGTATTATTTATTACTAAACGTTAAAATCTAGTGTTTTCACCCAACATTTCTCAGAGGTAGGAGCTAGTGAGCTGGGAAGAGGGGGGGGGGGGATTTGAGTCCATTATTTGAATGGACATTAACCTGGCGACTGTATTTCTCTTAAATATTAATTGTGTGAGCATACCATCATAAAATTTAGATGTTATTTTTACTACAACATAGGTATTGTGTCGGAAAAAGTGGAGTTTGGGGGTCGGGCCAGTCTCTATTGGAATTAATCCCATATGTTCTGTTGTTCGCTTTACGAGGTTTTCACTTTCCACGGTACCCTGTGGGTTCAATTGACCGCGTAAATCGAGGGGGGGGATTTGAGTCCATTATTTGAATGGACATTAACCTGGCGACTGTATTTCTCTTAAGTATTAATTGTGTGAGCATACCATCATAAAATTTAGATGTTATTTTTACTACAACATAGGTATTGTGTCGGAAAAAGTGGAGTTTGGGGGTCGGGCCAGTCTCTATTGGAATTAATCCCATATGTTCTGTTGTTCATTTTACTCGGTTTTCACTTTCACTTTCCGCGGGACTCTGTGGGTTCAATTGACCGTGCGTAAATCATTTACGGGGTACTACTGTATAATGAGAAAAGAAAGCATCTGTGTAAGGTTCTTTTGACAACTTTATTATTCGAAGGCCCAAATCATCAACTTCAGCTACACCATCAAATTCAGCATCATAAGCAGCTTCATCAACAACTTCAGGTTCAGTAACGGTTTCAGCAACAGCTATAACATCTTTATGGAAAGCTACAGCTTCAGCCAGAGTTGAACCTGATGACTTCGTCAGCTGAGAAAAAACTCACACAGCATCATTGGCTGTCTTTATGTTTTAGACTTCACCACCTTTGGTGAGTAGAATTTTTATTTTACATTCATAAGTATTATTTAAAACATATATGAACAGTAATAAGTGTTGCTTCATAGGCTTATGTAGAGAAATGACGATATGTTTTCACATGTACTCAATTACATACATTGGCGTTCCCAATCCATCTCGCTTTATTTCTTTGCCATTAGTGGTTAGCTACTTCTATTGTTCCATTTATGAACATTAAATAACATTACTTAAAACATATATATTAATTTTTTTACATTCATTTTACTCCAGCTATAACCAGGGTCATATTTTCTTCAGTTTCATATGTAGAACCATTGTCACGGGTGTAAGCACTAATGAAAACAATGAAGTCCCACCTCCTCTTGTGTGACCATATTATTATTGATTTATATTGTACAAGGTGCATTCGTAAACATTATTTAGAGATTATAGTTTGCATTTATCATTAATTTTATTGTTTGGGGAGAAAAGAGGGTAAAAAGTCACACAAAAGATATGAAAAGATCAGACTTTGGAATGCAACTCATTATCAATGCTTTATTTTAATGGTAATTAATGATTCACAATACGATGATTCACCTTACACTGCAATATTGGAGGACACATTACCGTCGTTATTCAAGGCTTTACTGTACTCGCATACAGCATAACAATTGCATAGCACACAGTTTTGTCAGGGGTCACCTATGTGTTTTGGAGTGGTAGCACCTTAACACTTGTGGGGCATTTTTATTACTTATAATGATTATTTGTACATTATATGAGATGTTTTTAACACTATTTATACATCATATTCGGGTACACACAGACTTACCGGTAGTATAAAACAGTGGTTGATGTAGACATATACGTATTGAAAATTTCTTCCTGTATTTGTTAGCGACGTATTATGTGAAATGACACACATCGGTACAACATATGACGAGGACCCCCTGTACCTGTATCAAGTGTAGAAATGAATGGTTCCCGGCACACTGGAAACAATCAATGCTGACAGAAGTACTAACAGAAGGAGGTTTGTCCTGATAAAATCCAAACTGATGGCCACTCAGCTTGTCTCATAATCAATGGCCAAGCACTTGTATTGACAATAGGAACCCAGCTGACGCAAACACATTTGATGATCTCGCAGACGTATTTGTAAGAAACGTTTTTCATTTGTGTTAATTATTGAAGTGTGGACATAGCATTTGACTGATACAGGGAAGAGTCTATCAGAGCAAGCACCAGAATATGGCACACTAAAACAACCTAACCAATTAGACGTCTTACTGAGGGTCGTGAACTGCCTCTTAAGAAGAGTTGGAAAAATTTTCTAGCTCTACCAGACAGCAAATAAGACCTTGCACAATTTTTGTCATAGGAACTGATCTCTTAAATTCCAGATAATAAGAAAAGTGCCATCATTGATGGTCAATCCATACTCAGATGGTATTGCTCTATTCCTAGACACAGTATCCACTCTGATACCAAGTTTGTGAGCAAAATGTGGGCCAATTATTGTAAAGGAGAGCTCTGATACTTGGATGAACACATTTTCTAATTCCCTGGAAGAGAAGGGGTGGATATGAACATGGCCTGCTAACAACAAACTTTACACTCCTACCTCATAGTTTGTCTCCCATGGAATAGAAAACCTAGAGCAGAACAATCTGTTCCATTCAAGTTGATATGCAAACTCAACACATATATATATTCTATCCTGCTTACAAAGAGTCTGACCATGTCACATTCTCACTCCAAAGATTCCAAATACAAAGAAGACAAAAGTCGTTAAGACTTCCTTGACTAAAACTCGAAGTCCTTAAGAAAATACCATCCTGTCTCATAATCTCACTCCTATAAGGATGTGACATTTAAAAATTCATAGAGAGTTTCTATCTGCACCAGAGCTGCAAAGAACCATACTCCCACTATTACTCTACAATACTGCATTGGGAAAACTGTCCTCCAGAAAGGAGGTAGGTAGGTATATCAAGGAAGAGAACGAACTGTATGCCAGAAGGTCAACCAGCTCATTCCACATGTACACTGGGTATCACACCATTGGCCTTGTTACCTAAAAACCCTTGACTTCTCCTTGTTCACTGAAAAACGAATTTAAATTATACTGTGATTCACTCGCTGTGTATTTCTCTAAGAAACAGGCCTGAATTTTCTAATTTTACATATATTTTAAAGCCCTCATCTCTCCCCACAGGGCATGGTAGTCTACGTAAAAAGCTCTCTGCCATTTAAGGGTTAGGGGATGGCAATTATAGTGCTTCATTATCATATAAATTATTTAAATAAACAATGAAGGTGAAGCATCTCCCCATCAAAATTTCTTAAGTCAAACAGAGGAAATAGCACTAGCATTTAAAAAATTTAAATGTTGACTATACAGTACTGTATTTAAGATATGAAGTGATAAAAACCAAATTTCCTTATGAACCCATGAAGACTTTTCCAAATTATAGAATGGATACTGTAAACAGTGCATACAGGCACACAGGAAACACTATCCCCACCCCGCAATTCTATAGTAGGGGTATAAAAATTTAGCAATAATATTTTAAAATTACAACTCATTAATGCTGGGCCACAAAGACATTCACCTCCCACTTACCTTTATTTGCTCTCCATAGTCGCTCCATGCCATTGCGTTTTAGTGCCAATCTTGACAGTTCGGTGAAGCTTTCCACAATGTTAAAATCACAAAGAGGACTAACTTCAAACAGGTTAACATGGTTCTTGGCAGCATACTGTTCTGCCTGACTCTGGCTCACCTGTCTCTTGAAGGCCAAATGAAGTCGATTACCTATTAGAACCTTAGGAACACCAGGAGCATGCTGGAAGGAAAAACATATAAAAGTTACAATTAGATCTGAGCCTTGTCAAAAGAAAATTATACAAATGGAGGACATGAGCAAGTGTGTGTTGGTTTCTACTTGTTGTCACACAATGATTTTTATACTCATCTAGCACCACTCTTCCCTATCAACTGCTTCCCCTTTTTTGAGGTTTCTGTATTCCTTGATCAACACCCCTACAAAAATGGGAGAAAATTGAAGATAATGAATAGACAAGTACAGGTAGCTAAATGAATGTGAAACTTAAATGTCTCTCAAATCACTCTCATCAATTATCAAATCTAACCCTCTGAGAGGTAAACAGGTGTGGTGTTATAATGGCACACTTTAACATGTGTCAATCTTGTTATCAGGTACAGTATTTATGGACTTTTCTTATTGCTGGTTTAAACAATTCTGATCACCTACAGTTTTCCTGCATCCCTCTCCCTATCATTTCCCCCATTGGGGGACCAGTGGTAGAAGCGGTACCGTTCTTGCCTCGCAAGCGAGATGTCACGGGTTCGATTCCCGGGCCGGTGGAAGTTGTTTAGACTTACTTCCTAGCCCCCATTAGTCCCTGTTCACCTAGTAGTAAAGTAGGTACCTGTTGTAAGTCGAAAGTTGCAAATTCGTATTCAGGGACAAGTTGTTGGAGATTCCAATAACTTGATGACATAAACCACTCTCTTCAGGCTTCTACGCCCTTAACTCATGAGACATAAAGGCAAGCATGAACCTAGCCTGCTTCCCTGTTGGGCGCTGTAAACGCTTCTGCGCTTCACCTTACACAAGGATGTAGGGGGGTGCCCAATAAAAAAATAAATAAATAAAAAAATAAATCCCCATTTTATCTTAAGTCTAAGGTTTATGTACCCTACAATCCACTTCAACAAAAAGGGTAGAAGAGTAAAGATAGTGAACAGGTAGATGTTCTTCTCAGAGGAATATCATTATTACTGTACAGTATAAGGTATCCTAATAATTCTGAAGGGCAATATACACAAACTATGATTGTCATCTCTCAAAACCGGAAAAAAATCCAGCCGCCCCGGAATTTTCCAGATGTGCCCCCTCTGAAAATTTTTCCCAAAGCCAGACGTTTCCGGAAAATTCCATTTTTTGGAACGATTTTCCGAGAAAATTTAAATTTGAGCTATCGGAAAGTTTTGGGTTTGATTGATGTTGGGGTGTGTGGGTGATGCTGGGGTGTGTGGGTGATATTGTGTGGTGATGTTGTGTGGGTGATGTTGGGGTGTGTGGGTGATGCTGGGTTGTGTGGGTGATGTTGGGTTGTGTGTGATGTTGGGGTTGTGTGGGTGATGTTGGGGTGTGTGGATGTTGGGGTTGTGTGGGTGATGTTGGGGTTGTGTGGTGATGTTAGTTGTGTGGGTGATGTTGTTGTTGTGTGGGTGATGTTGGGGTTGTGTGGGGATGTTGGGGTTGTGTGGGTGATGTTGGGGTTGTGTGGGTGATGTTGGTGATGTTGTATGGGTGATGTTGGGGTTGTATGGGTGATGTTGGGTGTGGGTGATGTTGGGGCTGTGTGGGTGATGTTGGGGTGTGTGGGTGATGTTGTGGGTGTGTGGGTGTCAGAGACGGGGGGGGGCTAATGAGTGGTTGCTTAGTGCACAGTGGCCCCCAGAACCCCCAAAAATAATCTTGGTAAAAGTCCAGACCTCCCCTTTCCTCCCAAATTGTCCGGATTTTCGAGGGTTTACTGTGTGTGTGTGTGTGTGTGTGTGTGTGTGTGTGTGTGTGTGTACTGTATATATATATTTGCCTCTGTCTACCCGGCAGTAATTGGGACCAGGATATTAATCGATTTGCTGATCGTGTTCCGGGGTAATGGTTAGCCAGTGCAGTTGGCGAGTTGTTCGGTCTTCTTGGACTATTCCTTGACACTGGGTGACTCAGCTCGTTAACTCATGGTGTGGTTGTGGTGGACAGCTTCTATACCTCAAACAAATTCACACCTAGGTGGTTCTTGGGCCGGCCATCATTGTTACAGAACTAGACATTGCCAAAGGCTTAAAAATACAAAACATTTTAAAAATATGCATCTTCTCACAAAATGCTTAAGGAATTGGGAGGTAAGTATCATCACGTGCTGTGAGGTCTCAACTTGTACAGTATGAAACAAAATTCACTATTTCCCCTCTTTCTAATTTTAATTCATATTTACTGTGAGTAAGTAAGTCTTATCTTCTACTGGTCTACTGAAAATCCTCATAAAAATTAAGAAATTTATGTTTTCTGTTTTCTCCCTTCTTTAAGGTTTTTGAGGGGAATAATGATAACAGATAATTTTTATCTAAATACTGAATTCTTGCTTGGTGTTTACATAATACTTGTACCTGTACCATAATACCACCAGATTTCTTTAAAGTAAATTTTTTGCCTATCTATACTCGTATATACATTTCACTCTCCTCCCATTTTCAGGTAGGGTGGATCCAGAGTTACAGAAACCGAAAAAATATGGGGGGGAAATATATAGGAATGTAGAAAGCATTCTGGCACATGTCTCTAACATCTCTTTTTCTACAACCTATTCAAATATTGTATAATTCTGTAATAAAAACTATTTCCCACCTCTTGAATCTCCTTCATCCAGCGGTCCAATCCCTCAAAGGACCACTTATTGGTAATATCATACACAAGTAGAATTCCCTGAGCACCTCTTGAATAGGATCTGATGATGGTACAGAACCGTCCCTGGCCAGAAGTGTCCCACAGTTGAAGTTTGACCCTCTTCCCGTCCAGCAGGATTGTGGTCGTCTTGTGGCCTGTCAACACATTTATGTATCAGACTTGTTATTAAATAATAAATGCAATCAATCTGTAACAGTAATAAAACTGACCTGGTAAAATCAACGGAGCACCTTATAATTAAAAATACTGTAATATATGCAGTCTTACATTATATGCTAAATGATGATCTGACCTCCAGCCTACACATGTGAATTTGTGAGGTTTAATCAAAATATCTGTAACCTCAATACTGTACAATAATGTACAAGACTCACGTTCCTAATGATGTTATACTGTATTTACAACACAGTCATCTGGACAAACAAACCCGTACCATAATACAGTACTGTACAGGTATACCTCGATAACCGAAGCATATAGGGGACTGTGAAAATTTTTTGGTTTAGCGAATCAACGGTTATCGGAACAATTAATCCCATAAGAATATAACAAATTCAGGGGGTTACGGGACCAACCAACCCCCCAAAACTCCCATCTACTCTTGATATATCTGTCATGTACAATCCAAGACAAAAGTCGTATTGCGGTTTTGACCAAAGATTAAATGTAACTCGTGAAACATTATGAGAGCCCCCTACCACAAGGCAGAGCACACCAAAAGTTTTAGGCCTTCGGCATATGTTTTCACCAAATTTCAGGACACGACTTTTGTCTTTCATTGTACACTTGTCATACATGAAAATAAAGAACACATAATAAGCATTAGGAAGGGAGGATAGGGATAATTTCCCCAAATTAACCGCCCCCCCCCCCCAAAAAATAAATCCAAACTTCTCAAAAATGCCCCAAAACTAAATAAAAAATTCCAACTGCTGTGACGTCATCGCCAATGGCTGTGATGTCACCACGAACTGCTGTGATGTCATCAAGTGTTATGACATTATCACCAAGTACTGTGATGTCATCACCAATGGCTGTGACGTCATCACCAACAGCTGTGATGTCACCACGAACTGCTGTGATGTCATCAACTGTTTTGATATCATCACCAACTGCTGTGATGTCACCACCAACTGCTGTGACATCATCACCAACTGCTGTGATGTCACCACCAACTAACAAAGTACTAACCTAAGTTCATCAAATCCTTATAACTTCTGACCTTACTTTTCAGCCTCTAACCAAAATGCATTTTTAAAATCAAAATTGGAAAAAATTAAAAGCATCCCATGAACAGCCAAAAGATTGTCAGGATGACTTTAACAGCCACCCACTAAGAAGTGATCCCTTCAAAAGGTTGTTTGGGAAGCTATGTAAATGTGAGGAAACTATTCAGACTTGGGCCAATTTTAACACCTGTACTGTATATCATTAAACATTACAGGTAAACTTCAACAAACCATGTCTCATTCAGCGATATTCTGCTTTAACGATGGTCATGAATTAAGACCACATCGCTATATACGGTGAAAAATATTTGCTTAAATGATATCCAATGGTTGGAATTTTTTTTATCTCTAGTGTAAACTATGGGTTGTATATACAATACTCAAATTAAATGCTGTCTTGCAAGGATTCCAGCAATTAAAATTATATTTTTCCAAGTCAAGTCAGTGTCATTTTAAAAGGAAACAATATTTAACCATATGCACCACCATAGGTAATGTATCTCTGGCTGCACTTGCCAGCAGCATTAATATCTACCCGTGCGCTGCCACACGGCCAACCCGCACACTACAGTCCTACGCTTGGTTCTTTGTCAATCACTTAGCTCCACAATCATCATCATTGACTGTATATGTACAGTCCCCTTCACTAGTGCATTTACAGAGACTCATCAGGTTTTGTGCAGTGTGGCAGCCCTATATTTGTAAAATTTACATCCGACAGAAGGAAACTCACAATAGTAAACATGCTATGGAATCAGAAGTAAAACATTATTAAAACAAATATCTCAATGTAATGATTTGTGAAATGTTTATATGACGAGCCTCTGTAAATGCACTAGTGAAGGGGACTGTACATTGTACTTATCATTGGTGGGGTTTTTTCTTCATATATATATATATATATATATATATATATATATATATATATATATATATATATATATATATATATATATATATATATATATATATATATATATATATATATATATATATATATTTACAGTACTGTATATATTTCTTTTTACGGGGAATAGCCCACCCGAGCACAGGTCATCGACCAACAACGGGGCCTAGAGGGTGAAAAAATAAGTGAGAAGAAGCACTAACATTTAGATTGAACTGCGTTATGGTGACTGTGAAGTGATATTTTCTGTTGTTTTGTGACTGTAACGTGCTTCGCCTCTGTTGTTGTGAAAATGATGTGAGCAGTGTCAGCTGCTATCATTGTTTTTACGTTAGCGTTCGCTTTGTTTTTATGAAAGTGAAGTGAGCAGTGTAACTTCGAAAATGTCTGGTAAAGCCAAGGCATCCAGACAACCATGTCTCTGAGGTGAAGCGTGACATTGTGAAGCGGCATGAAACTCCCCAGAGGCTGTGTGGGAGCCAGAGTGACTTCTCCACTCCACCTACAAGAGTCCCCTTAGCCTCGAAGGGGACATGTGATGATGACCCGGCTTATTCTTCATGATGTGGTGAGTGTTGTTTGTTTTTGATTGATTTTATAAGTGTAGGAATTTTTTGTCAGTGATGCATGTGTGTTTGGGGGCTGGCTTGGAACATATGCCATTGAGCTTCATGTTAAAAAGCTCCCTATCTACAATGTTTCATTTAGCGATGTGTTTTGAGGAACTTATCCCCATCGTCTATAGAGGTTTACCTGTACTGTACTCACTGTACAGATGTATGTACATGTATTAATTAAAGAATTATTATATCATTAATTTACTGTATAATGATAAGCTAAACTTTCATATTTACTGGTAAAATAATTCTAATGGTAAACAGGCATTGGAATGTTGTATGTACTGGAAGGAGCTGTTTATGTACTGTAAATCAACTTTTTTGTGCATTATCTATGTGTTACTGTATTTTTTTTATGAACAGTATTTTGAACAATGTTTAGTGTTTGTTAAAGGAATTTTGGAACAGTTTATGGGTACAGTATTTTTTGGCCTGTGGAGCCATACTAATTTTTTTTCCATTTAAATCAATTAAACTAAAATTAGCGAATTTGATAATTCAGGATGTCTTCTGGTACCTAACTCACAAATTATTGAGACTCCACTGTACATTCACAAAATCTGATTTCCCTGTGAAAAACACTTTAAAATCACTTTCAATACATGTACCAGGAGTTGTACTAAAATAATTTTTCCCCAAAAATGTCTTGTAAAATAGGTTTTTTGCACATACAAAATGGATGTGTTTATGTTTATGAGCCATTTGTCTTTTAGCACTTGTGTAAACAGATAATAAATAGGTACGCAAAGGAGGCTGGACCAACAAGGTTTGGGATCATGATGAAAATGTTGGAAAAACAAAAGTAGGAAAGTTGCAATTCCTCCAAACATTTATTGATACTCAAAAGGAGGAAAGGTAAGGAGAAAGATACGAGACATGTTTTCTGTTTAGAATTTGTTCCTAAAGCGGCTCCTCGCTCCTAACAACACACACATTTGAAACTTATGTACAATATTACTGTTGTGATTCATTAACATAATGTATAAATTGTGGTACTGTACATGGTTTCACATGTACATATACAGTACGATATATACAACATTCTGAGGCACATATTTCAAGGATATATCTGTCATAAATGTACTTTACTACCTTGGTGATAATTTAATTGGGTTTTCTGTGTTTGTTTTATTCTTCTTTACGTAATAATCTCTGGACACTGAAATAAAGGCTATAAGTTTTATATTTAATTTATTTCAGTACCCATCAGTTTAATGAACAACGAAAAGTGAACAAATTAGACCGTTAGAAGTCTAATAACACAGTACATTCATAGCCAGGTGCAGTATGCAATTAAAGAGCCCATGGCCAGTCAAAATACTAAAAAGAAAGAAAAAGAGAGATTAAGTGGCACTTTCTCTTTATGCCTCTAACACTTTAATAACTGGATTTACAACAAATATCAGCAATTATTCTGAAACATCAGCTTATAAGCTCATAATTAGGATAATGATTTTCTAGTAATGTTTTCAGTGCTCATTATAGTGATAATAGTTTTTTGGGGGGAAAATCAAGTTTTCATTTTTTTTTTCCATAGCTATTGAAATTAAATTTTTTCTGGTAATGGCAACATGAAGAGATGATATCAGTTGCTTGGTTAGGTTAGGTTTTTAAGCCTACATTTTCCCTCTGCTTTAAAGCCTTTGGTGAGATCATGAATGACATGGTAGAAGAGTCATAACTCAATACAGTAATTACCCAGTATGAATTTTCCCAAAGTTTAAATATCACCTATTTACTCAGCACAAAAAAAAGCATAAAAAAAGTAATATATGATAACACCGCTACCACCAGAAGGAGTTGTTCAATTTCATTCATTTTTTCCACAATTATTCTTATCCTTATAGTTAGTATTTTAAAAGAGGTGACAACTTTTTATTTTAATTTTAAGTATTTTTTTCTTTATCTACAATCATAAATCACCAGTGGGGGGCAGAGCATGAAGGATGAGGGAAATTGTGGGATAAAACAGTGAAAAACTGATCATATAACACTAAAATTATGTCTCTACATGTTGTTTGTTTGTTAACAACCGACCCACTCAGTCCGAGCATACTCTTACATCCACAAAAAACAACAAATTACACCAGGACACTTGAACAAAATTGCTTTCATTGGTACCAGATATCAAAATAAATACTTTCTGTTTAATAAGGCAGGGGGTCTGCCCCAGGCTAGGAAGTTAGGTAAGGTTAGGTAGGTTTCTTTAGTTGGTTAGGCCAGAATCAATTAGGTTCTAGTAAATATTGGCTCTTTTAAAATACTTACTACAGTATGATGATAAGGTATTAGGTAATTATTGGTCTTAGTGACCTTCAAGTTTTTTACATGAAAACCTATTTTTCTGGTGTATTTTGGTGGGTTTTCTTCAAATATGATCTTCATTTCCTTGGGCAATTATTGGTTTTCAAGGAAATGACGATTTTACATGTCAAAGACATATAGAACTAACTATCCAAAGAAACTTACCAAACCTTACCTAGCTTTCTAGCCAGGGGGCTTTGCCACCCAAACCCCCTGCCAAATTAAACAGAACATACTTATTTTGATATCTGGTACCAATGAAAGCAATTTTGTTGAAGCGTCAAGATGTAATTTTATGTTTTTGGTGAACGTGAGAGTATGCTCGGACTGAGCGGGTAAATTGTTAACAGACGAAATGTGGCGACTTGGCATATTTTTCGGAGGAGTATTTACGGTAAATAATTCAAATTTCGATATTACTACCAAAATAAAGATTATCCAAGAATGTTGAAAGGTAGTGCAACCTATATCTAATGTCCAAACAGCAAAATATTAATGCTTTCTATGGGAAATGCTAAAGACGGTAAAACCAATCTTAACAGGGTAGCATTTTCGTTTCGGTTATCCGGGGGTGTCTTAGGAATTATGTTAGGTTGGATTAGATTAGGTTAAGTTAGATATCCAAACTTTGTTTTTCTGATGTTTATGATGTGTTTTGAACGATTTGGAGTTTCATATGTCGGAAATAATATACAGTAGTTTGGATATCTAAATACAGGGATGACCGAATCTATAACGAACAAATTCAAGCAACTCCTTCTAGTGGTAGCGGTGTTCTCATACATTACCAAAAAAATAATTGCAATTATAAGAATATTGTAGGCTGATGTTTGCGGAATAATTACCCAAATATCAGCATTCAACTCACCACTGCCAACACAGAAGGGGGACTCGGAGGAGCCATCCTCAAGGGGCTGAAGGATCTCATGCTTGCCAACATCGCTATCGCCCACCAACAGAAACTTTAACAAGTAATCATATGGCTTGCTGGACTCGCCTCCTCCACCTTGCCCCCCCCCTCCATCTGACATCATGCTCATCTCATCACTCGAACTGCTGTTGCTGATGGACACATTGGAAGACACTTTCGTTGCCTTGGCAGCACTCAACCTTGGGGTATGTTACTGAAATCTGATCTGCACAGTAGATGTTAGGTGGACTACTCTCTCCTGTTGGGCACTGAGGCAGACAACCTCAAATCTTGCCAACATTGCCATCTGTCAGACAAGTTCCTCTCCAGTTAAGTCAAATAATCTTCCTAGTTTTAACAATGTCAATAAGATTCACTCGTTTGGTTCTCAATCACTGACGCAGTTCTCACCTTTAGCTTTTTAGAACTTTGTACTGCTGTAAATACCGTCAAAAGGTCGGTTTTGCTTTGAAAACAAAGGGATAGCAGAGCCTCAGTGAGTGCTGGTAGGAATTGGCTCAGCAAGCACAGCCAAGGACAACCAAAACACCAGTACAAGCATCAACTATTACTGTGAAAGTTGCATGTCCGGATCACAAATACTAACTGACGACCCACTCTTATGTCCTCACGACGGCACAGTGTCTCCTGTTGACTTCCTCAAAGACTTTTGGAGTACTGAACGCTCGTCAAGAGCTGATCAATCTAAATACACCGAAGTAACAAGGGATTATGGTTGTGAGAACTCAGAGGCCACCTCTCTCGATCAGCAACAAAACAAACCCACTGAGCCTAGATGGCAGCACAGAGCAGCCAGTCAGGTGCTCACAGAACACCAACAGCCAGGCCAGGGGTAACCACGCCAAAAACTATACTTCTTTATTCCCTTCTTACCTAAATGTCAAGTGTGAGATCCTTCCACTGTTCTTGAAAGTCTAGTCTCGGATTATTTTAAAATCCAATAGAATTAACTTTTAAAATTTTTCTTAAGCTATATATGCTTTGTTGAAATTACATTATTTACCACTGTATACTTTCACAGCCTGTGTACATAATAATAATAATAATAATAATAATAATAATAATAATAATAATAATTCGGTCAAGTTATCATATAGGGTTACAATTGTATATCTCTGGCTGGCTCAGCTGCTGACTGGCTGTTCTAGTGTGGTGGGGCTTGGGATTTTTATGTGTACATAGCCTCAGCTTATGGCCCCCTAAATTTTGCTGGGGGGCCAGGGCCTCCAGTTTGGGAACCAGTGAGCTAGACAGTTGCAGGTGCTCTATCTATAACTGAGGCGCCATAGTGTAGGCACCAGGGTGGGCGGGCGGGTCGTGTAACAAAGCGTGTTCGGCATCCGGGCCTTCGATGTAGAGCGGCAGAAATTGGACAGTGATTACATAAGTTCGTCAAGATCGTCTTAGTGAGGTGAAAGTGTAAATCGATGTCGGACTTTTCATGCTAGACACGATTGTATTTTTGAAAACTCAATTTCCACCGAGTTGGAGGTACAGCCAGGGTCACAGGCCTATAACCACACAATCACTGCCACATGACAAAGCTTTTATTTTATTTTATTTTTTAGGGTGTTGTGGTCACGGCTGTGATAAAGGCCAACCAGGGAGTGTAGTACTGTGCCTTCAGTTAAATCAGTTCATAGTTGTCATCAGTGAATGCAGAAGAGACTATAATAACTTAAAGTGAATACATATTGGCAATCGAGCTGGTAAGGACAACTGCCAGCCTATTCGTGTCATAGGTGCCACAGAGACTTTAAATTTTATTTTGTTTGTGTGCTTGCTCAAGGACTGAATCTGTGTTTATAATACACCACTCACAGGGAGATACAGTGTACACAGTGATAGTTCATAGTGTCATCAGTGACCGCTGAAGTTGTAAATAACTTAAAGTGAGCGCTCACTAGCAAGCAAGCTGGAAAGGCACCGTGCCAGCTGAAACCAAGTCGTGTCATAGGTGCCACAGAGACTTTAAATTTTATGTTGATTGTGTGCTTTCTCAAGGACTGAAACTGTGCCTACAATACACCATTCACAGGGAGATACAGTGTACGCAGTCGCAGACGACAACTCCATAGGCAACAGAGAGTAGCTAAGTACTTTTTCTCTCTTTATTTTCTTTGAAATAGGTGTAGATTTATACACAGTCTGCACCCCCCCCCCCCACAACAACAACAACCATGAGTTTGATATGTGATTACTGCAGGGAGACGTCGGATATGGAGGATGCAGGCCTAACTAATGCAACGTTTAGGAAGTTACTAACTGCCGTAAAGCTTGATGGCTGTTGCTGGTATTGCCCTGGCTGCATAGTCAAGGTGAATGAAGCGATTGCAATCCATAAGGGAACGAGTTCTCTAGGGACGAAAATAGATGAAGCAGGAGCCCTGCTGGTTGACAAACTGGAGCAAGTTGAGAAAGAGATCCTTGCTAAGACTGAGGAAGTAGCTAATAGAATGGAGGTGGTTGCTAAGAGGAGCTATGCGGACGTATTAGGAGGGCCACGGGTGGGGGGGGCGGAGAGTAATGCAGAATCAGTACAGGTTCTACAGCAGATTGGGACTCTGAAAAAGTGTGTCGAAGAAATGAAAATTAACGGACCTACTGTTAGGGGAGAGGAGGAACACCAGGAACGGCTCCAGCGCAGGAACAATGTAATAGTTTTTGGAGTCCCAGAGAGCCAGGCAGAGGGAACTGTGAGTAAGGAAACACACGACAAGGTGCTGTTTCAAAATATTTGCACAGAGGTTCTGAAGATTCCAGCAACCCCTCAGGATGTGAGGAGACTGGGACAAAAGCAGGGGGCTAAGCCTCGCCCCCTCAGGATCACACTAGGGAGTGAGGAGGAGAAATGGCAAGTTATCCGGCAGGCAAAAAACTTAGCAAGGAGCGAGGCATTTCGGGATGTATTTATTCACCCAGACCGCACGGTAATGCAGAGGGAACAGCACAAGAAGCTCCTGCTGGACTTGAAGCAGAAGAGGGAGGAGTCGAGGAGGAACGGGGACAGGTGCACATGGGTTATACTCAGGGGGAGGGTAGTGGAAACAAGTGTGCCGACACAGGGCCAGGGGGCAGCAGTGCACCCTCCACCCACTCAACCCCCCACCCGGGAGGCGGCACCAGCTCAGCCTACCGGACAGGAGGGAACGAGCGCCGTGTAAACAATGACATTTTTAACCACACCCTGCAAAATACAGTGTACTTAGCAAATGCTGCAGCTTCTGAGAATGTGGGTGGAGCGGGTTTATTACTAAGAGCAGAGACGTTACCGAGAACAAATTCTGGCTTGAATGTCATGTACACTAATACCGACACGTTCCTTGATAAGAGGGAGGAGTTTGAAACACTACTAAGAGTACACCAACCAGATATTGTAGGAGTTGTAGAACTGTTGTACAAGAACAGGAGAATCGACCCAGAGGAATGTGAGTTCAGTATTGCTGGATATGACTCATTTACGAACCTAACTCAAGAATCCTGCAGGAGGGGTGTGGTTATCTACGCTAGGCAAGACCTTAGAGCCAGCCAGGCGAGGGTACAGGGAGAGGATGTTTTTGAAGAGTCCAAGTGGTGTAAAATTAAATTAAAGGGAGGGGACTTACTTATCGTCGGGTGTATCTACAGATCCCCGAACTGTGGCCCACTAAATCAAAGGAACTTAAGAACCTTAATAAACAATGCGGCGATGCTCAACCCCAGCCACCTCCTTATCATGGGGGACTTTAACTATGGCGACATCGACTGGAGAAACGAGTCAACCCCGAATGACTTGAATAATCCTGCTACTCTTTTTGTAGAAACTCTGAGAGATAATTTTCTGTTCCAACATGTGAGAGACCCGACACATTACAGAGGGGAGCAAACACCCAAGCCACTTGACCTCATCATAACAAACGAGGAGGGTATGGTGGCCAAACTGGAACACCTTGCCCCAGTTGGCACCAGTCACCATACAGTGTTGTCATTCAGATTTAACTGTTACCTAGTTCAAGATAAGGCCAGGCCAAGGTGCAAATATTACAAGGGAAATTACAATGGGATGAGGGAAGAGATGAGGGGTATCAACTGGCCTGACTTATTAAGGTACAAGAACGCAGACACTACGCTGAATATCATAACTAGTAAAATGACCCATTTGATCGATAAATATATACCCAAGACCAAACCCAGTGCTTCTAGGAATACGAGGGGATCCCTACACATGAACCATGCGGCGGTCGACAAAATTAAGAAGAAAACCCAGAAATTCAAGACGTGGGTTGGGTCAAACGATGAGCAAGACAGGAGGATGTATGCAAGAGCCAGAAACCAAGCAAAGATAGAGTGTAGGAGGGCTGAAAAGGAGTTCCAAAGGCTGGTTGCACGCGAGGTCAAGTCAAACCCAAAGGCGTTTTACCGCTATGCAAAGTCGAAATTGAAAACGCGAGTAGGAGTATCAGACCTGAGGCTTGAAGATGGTAGTTACGCAGATTCTGACCAGGATAAAGCTGAGGCATTGAACAGCTTCTTTTCCTCAGTGTTCACAAGAGAGGATGCAACTAACCTTCCTGCGTTTGAGGACAGACGGTTCGACACAGCACTGACCCACATTGTGTTCACAGAAGAGGGTATTAGAAATAAACTGTCCAGGCTAAAGGTCCATAAGAGTCCTGGACCTGACATGGTGCATCCTAGAGTGCTAAGGGAGCTGTGCAACGAGCTTGCAGAGCCCCTGAAGATTCTGTTTTGTAAATGCCTGGATGAACAAATGGTCCCCAGTGAATGGAAAGTGGCTTATGTGAGTCCTATCTTCAAGAAGGGCGATAGGCACTCCACGAACAACTATAGACCGGTGAGCCTGACCAGCATAATATGTAAAGTACTTGAGAGTATTATCAGAGATGCAGCGATGGAACATCTACTACGAAACAACCTTGTAAAAGATTGCCAACACGGTTTTATGCCGGGGCGCTCTTGCTTGACACAATTGCTCAAGGTATTGGATATTTGGACCCATATTCTAGAACGGGGTGGTAATATCGACAATATTTACCTAGATTTTGCCAAGGCTTTCGACAGTGTACCCCACGAAAGGCTGAAAATCAAACTGGAAGGGTACGGAATTCGGGGAAATGTCCTAGCGTGGATAGAAGACTTTCTACATGACCGCAAGCAATGTGTGGTGATTAATGGCACGAAATCGTCATCTGTACCTGTAACAAGTGGGGTACCGCAGGGTAGTGTATTGGGCCCGCTGTTGTTTGTTTGTTTCATAAATGATATGCCTGACGTTGTACACTCCTCCATACAAATGTTTGCCGATGACGCCAAGTTATTTCGGGAAATTAAGAACCAAGCGGACTGTGAAGAGCTGCAGAAGGACCTCTGTGGGCTCCAGGAATGGTCGAAGGAATGGCTGCTGAGATTCAATGTCACGAAGTGTAAGAGGATGCACCTGGGGAGGAGTGTACAACGTCAGGCATGTCATTTATTTAACAAACAAACAACAGAGAGCCCAATACACTGCCCTGTGGTACCCCGCTTGTGACAAAAACATACCCTCCCCACACGAGCACACACCCGTGCGAGTGCCGTCTAATTAACAAACATATCTTTTATCCTCTTCACCACTGATCTGCTTGTTAGCCGCTTGGGCGATCGGTCATGTCTCTGTTATGCACTGTTGGCAAGTACTAATCATGTACTGGCTCTCTGTTATGTACTATTGGCAGGTACTGGGCATGCACCGGCTCCTGAGTGTATCTGAACCTGCTCCAGTGTTGGTCAA